ATTATTATTATTATTATTAATCCACGTCATAATGGGAGGGACCGTGACGTAGATTACTCATTTGACACGCCGTGCTCGTGGCTATTTTGATCGTATATATTTCTTTTTATAACACTAAGACTAAGACTATTTCACTAAATTTCACAAGGTTTTCGTATAAATATAAAAGTGTGTCGAGTAATCTACGCCAGAATGGGAGTGACCGCTGACCGAAGATAAGTTGGCCGTGATTACGAAAATTAAAGGCGGAACGGTTTTCAAATCGTAATTTCTCGCCTCAGAATTGGCTTTCAACTGAAATTGTTATTGAAAAGGCTTTATTAATCGCTAAAAATTCATATTATAATGATATAACTGAATTTTTCGAGTTTTCAAATTATAGGGCGGTTTCATCAGAGTGCCTTGTGGTAATCCATATAGTTATGTTCCTCATATTTTCTTGGTTGCAGTACGATAAATATATCCCCATCAGAAAACAGCAAGAATGCTAACAAAATTAACAAAACTGTATTTTTCTTTACTTTCTTTTCCTCGTGGTTCAAGAACCCCTTGTTGAGGCTGCGATCCGGAGACAAAAAACCTTGAATCCTTCTCTCAATCTCAAAACCCTCCAGCGATAAAGAACACTAAACCAAGGAATCGGAAGGAAGAGATAACACAAAAGAACTCATAGACTGGTAATTTTTACAATAAAAAAAATAAAAACTGAAATTGATTTGAATAACCACTTTTTGAGGAGGCCCTGTTGCGAAAGATATTGAAAGGGGCACAAGAACAACTTTAATTTTATTTACCACCCATTTTATTAACACTCGATTACGAGAAGATTCAGTAGACCCTATATTTATTTGAGAAATATAATGTTAAAAAAATAAGACTCTCAATAACTGACAGAAGCAATTCCTTTTTCGCCTTGTTGTACAGCCGGGTGAATTAGCCTTTTCGGCATAATTGTAATCGCCAAGTTGAACATGAACAAAAATTTGTAAGCACACGACAAACTATTTAGCTGATCAGCTTTCAATATATTCTTTAGATTATGGGAGTGTGTGAGGATTCACGATACATCAATATAGAATTAACTCTTGTATACTAAAATGGGGATTGTTATTTCTTGTCTTTCTTGATTATCAATTATATTTTTTTAAAATTCCATCACAACTTTCTCTAATTAGCCATATTAACTATATATAACTGAAATAAAGTGCATGTAAGTATGTGTGCGTATGAATTTGACTTTAAAAAATGTTGTTCGTGTTCTCGCCTGATTTCGATTACATCTTATATCAAAACATCTCAATAACCAACATAAATTTGATTTTTAAAACAAAAACGTCTTGTTAAAGTTTGATAATAAAATCGAGCGAGACACGGGCGAAAAATCTTTCGAAGTGCGATCTTTGCGAATTACTACATATAGATTGAAGTTAGCTGCCGCTCTACAAACAATTATAGCTCATACTCATATCATGTCTTTGACGTCACTTTCTTTATCGATTGTTGATTTTGCTCACTGCCTGCCGAGAAAATTGATGGGCTCTAGGAACGAGAATGTTCTGAATACGTGAGAGAATTCAATTTTTTTTTTATAGGTGAGGAGCAAGAGATTTATAAAATGGCTATTAAGCATTGAATATTGTTTACATGAAACAGATAAGCATGCTTTATGCACCATTATAACATAACCATAGTAAAGCGCGCGCACTGATTGGTCAATTTAGCGTCCCCCATTTGCCCATGGGTGTATGCAGCTGACGTGAGCAAATGCAAAGACTATTTTTCCGCGTGCGCTTGTTTTTTCTGGTCACGTAAGATTTGTTAAATGAAAGGGAACTCTTTAGCTACAATGTATCAATGTTATGTTATAAAACAATTGGTTAACTCCACAACGTACACTATTGAGTTATGGATGCGTTTGGGAGGTTTGCTTAGCACTCAAGAAGCTAGATGTCGCTCTCGGCTATCGCCTCGAGCGACTCTTACGCTTCTTTCGTGCTTAGCAACCTCCCGCGTGCATCCATAACTCAATAGTGTACGCTGTGGCGTTTACCATTTGTTAAATAATAAGAAAAATAATACCAAAGGCGATCTTAGAATTCTTCTGAATTCAAAATTTCGCCGTGCCGCTATATGATGTTTGAGAGACGTAAATTAAAGGTAAAATGACATTCAAGTGCACTTAAAAATGTTGATAGTAAAATGTTTGAAAAAGTACTGAATGATGATTGGCTGACTGGGACTAGTTATGGCCGTCTAACGGAATATCTCCGTGTGAAGAGCCTTTTCCGATAGGAAAAGTAAGATCTGTTTGTAATCAGATCGTGTCTTAAAGATATATAACTCCCTTCTTTCTTGCATTGAAGTGGTTCGATCAAAATCTCCTCAGAGTGAGGAAATTAAATTAATATGTTGCACGTTTGCTGCCTTTAATTTGAGGATGAATACCCTGAACTCCATAAGAAACCACCAACAGTTATTAAGCTCAACTGATGTGATTTACGGTGGTTTACGAAATGAACGGGGAGACAACCGAAGCACCCAAAGAAATTTGCATTTACGCTCGGTCGGAAGATACTGCTCAGAGAGAGGAAGAAATTTGCACAGTCAGCTCCGACGGCGAGCTTGGACATGTTCCCGAGCTTGATAATGCGACTCTCTTGAATAATGGCACTGATTCATGGGGGGAAAGCAGAACTTCACTTCCGAGACAAAAACGGGAGCCCATGATGGAGAAAATGGTTCCTTGGACCTGAAGGAAACAAAGCTGATCAAACGTGAATCTGAAAAATGTGATGAAATGAGAAGTAAGTATCATAATACAAGTAATAACTATTAAGTTGTTCGTGCTTATGATAATCAAAAGATGTCAAAACAGGCAATGGATGCTTTGATACCTATTAACTCTTGCTTAATACCGCACCCTAATTCCAACTCCAAACAATTTCAATTACCAATTAAATAGTTATGAGTTTCCCGATTACTTTGAGAATCTAAACACCCGCTATTTTTGCACGATAAACGCTTTTGAAATCTCATTGTTGGTTAATGAAGTCTGTTATCAGTTTGATGACACAATGTGACAAGCACTCGCCAGTCATTTGAAGTGTTTAACAGTCAGACTTTTAATGTTACAATAGGTCTAGTATGAATCTGATAGATGATTGTTTGAAAGGAAAAAAAAATTGGCCTGTGTGAACATGAAAAGAGTTTACATACATCCAAAGCTGGATCGTTGATACTAAGCAGGGACCTAGAATGTTCGTGAATGATCCGGAATATTCTGAGTTGACTGCGTCTGGACCTGCAACCATCCGGAACGACCCCGGTAGCTCACAGTCGTTATATTTAGACTGGGTTTTTTTTTTCCCTTGTCATCATAAGACGTAGCATTTCCGTGTTTTATAATTACGCGGGGCGAATCGAAACAATCTTCTACACTTCGTTGTATTTACTGGTACAAAGGTGAAAAGTGCCAGCTCTGTCAATATCAAAGGATCTGAGTAGCGTCAGATGTCGAAGTGAACGAACGAGAAGGCATGTTCAGCTAAAAACTTGAATAATATTTCTTTAATCATGATAAGATGTGGCTGAAAATGTTGTCGAAAATGGCCCTCTGGTCAACAGTGACGCTTTGATCAAATCACAGAGGGAAAGGATAGTGTTATTAAGTAAAAAATAGAGGTAGATAAAAGAGAAGCAAGTCCTATGGCTACAGAGGAAACGCAGACACCTGCATTGGCTGCGACAAACGAAAGAGAAGCTGAGCATGGTATTGAAATTAGAAGTAAGCTTTTATGAATATTATATGCTCGTGGTAAATATATATATGGCTATTTAGTTTAGTTCAGTCTCGGTAGCTTGTCATAATAGAACTTGAGTTCAATTTTAAAATGTCATCCTTTTGTTTTGAAAAGCAATAATTTCAGGTTTTCCTTTATAGGTCGAAAGCTTGATCATATAATTTTAATTTATAAATAAAACTTATAAACTTATAAATTTTGGGAACAGTCTTTGTGAATGATAATCTGTTACTTCAATTGACATATAACGGGTCTTGTAGTTAACCTGCAGGCTTTACATATATCCTGTGATGTTAGTTTAGTTGTCTATGTGCGGTTTGTATGCCATATTGCTGCATTTGTGCGTTGATTCACAGTGATATTTACAATGCACCGGGGTAAGATAGGTTCCGCTATATTGATTTTATTGTGAGAAAGATAACTGAAGAGAACGGAACTAGACTGGAGAGTAACTAAGTCGCATCGGCTTCGTTCTGAGTTTTTTTTTTCATTACAGGGTTTATCATACTGCCCCCTTCTCAAGTTAAGGTCAGGATTGAAGCAGCACTGGTTAGAATTTTTAATCAATGTGTAAAGAACAGAATCTCGATGAGGAGATAATGACGTCGATGGCACCAAAAATATTAGCTTGACAATAAACAGCAGATAAGATCATAAAGCTTTTGTACCCGGCTCAGAATGTTTTCAAATTTGTTGATTCCAACTTCGTGTGAATAAATAGAAAGCTGACTTATGTTTTCTGGTAACCCTTCGATTGCCTGCAAAGCAGAAACTCCAATATTATGATTATGTATTAGACAGACATATGAGAGTTTTGGCATGATGTTTTCGACGAACTACAAACAGGAAATTAAAATTGTACCTGTCGCTATGAAGCCGCTATTGTCATAAAGTAAACTTTTTGCTTTTATAGTGAACGAAAGATTTTCGGTCGTTTTTTGAAGGCTTCATCCGGGGATTTTGGAAAAAGTGAGTTAAATTAGGGTGTATTTTTGCCGAATGACGTTGCGACATAGCCATTATGTTTGCTGCATATTGTGTCAAGCTTCGGTGGTTGACTATGGCACTTGCGAGATCTTGTTATAAATATAACTAAGGAGATACGTGACGTTTGAAAGATCTTAAGCAATATTCAGAGAACAATTAAAGATGTATGAAAAAAAACGTTGACATAAATAATATTGATGAGGCTGCTACAATAATCAGAAATATCTAAATTGAATAACTTAGTCTAATTTTTTCAGTAACAGCAATTTTGAAATGAATTAATAGTTGAGTGGTGTGACGATGCAAAGAAGACTTAAAATTAATTTCAATGCATAAATTACTAACCAAGTCCTAATGCATCGTAACTCAGGCATAACCTCTCACTTACGTGTCTGGCAGTTTAGAATTAAATATCAAACTGAAGTACTAAACAGAATTTTAACCCCTATAAGTTATTATTGTCCAATTAAAACCCGGTAAGTTTTTTTACTCCAGGGCAAGAAGACTGTAAAACCTCATGCAATCCAATGTTTAAATTACATGCCACTAAAACATCAACATATGGTAAGAATCTAATAACCCTTTGTGCCGCACACAGCAAACGTTATCGACCCGTGGGCGTCTGTGGTATCAGAACTGCAGCTTTCAGACATAAGTGATGACGTGGGTACTTGCTGGCGTGAGTTGGGACCAAAGCTTGATATCTCTGCAGCAAAGATCCAAAACCTGGACGACGATTATCGCTGTAGTCGCGACAAAGCGAACAATCTCCTCCTCATGTGGAAACAGAAAGAAGGGCGAAGTGCAGTGGCAGGGCGTCTGGCGGATGCTTTAGAAAGCATTGGAAAAAAATGCATCGCAGAGAAGCTGCTCGGTGAGTAGGTATCTTTTATATATGGGTGAGTGTTCTGTGTAGATAGTTGCTAAAATGTTTTCAATGTAGAGCTGGATGAATCACTTCACGACGAAGTCTTAGAAAACAATGACATTGTTGGCGTATTACGCAATTGTGGAGATTTTCGTGGTTTCCTTGTCGGATTGGGATATTTCTTCCAAAATCCTCCTCCCTTGAGCGTCTGGCGGAGGCTGCTACATTTCTTGATATCACGTGCGAATATAAAATATTTAACTCATCTCTAAGCAACTAGTACTACCGATTAATGAGGGAGCGCTTATCAGTTATCACTTTACGCTTATAAGGTTTTGATAGGGCAATTGATAGGCGCAACCTTTCAATTGAGCATCCTTTCATCTCTGGTTGGCCCAGGAAACAAGCATCACTCACTTACCCCATCAAATTGAAAACTTAAAGCCAACCTACGAGTCGTGACGTATTTACTTGCGTTTTCTAATGCCTCGGGAGGTTTACTTGTTTTTACTTGGCTCTGAGATCATTATTTCCTTTTTTCTGATTGAGGTGGGGAATTTGAACTTTGCCTGGCTTAGGTAGGACATTAGAACGGGAATTCGAAGTGTCAACTCTTTCTAGTGGAAAACAAGTGTTTTCCACTGATATGGAGGTGTTTAAAGGTGAAGAGTTCACTTCCGCGAGCGAATGGCTCAGAGGAAAAGCTCTATAAAGTCTAGATTTTAAGGTTTGGTCAATGAGCAGAGAGTCGCAGTTGCTGACCTTGACTTTTACAAAAGTTGATTATCAAATCCGGTGCT